TCAAGAAACTCCCTGAAAAAGCACAAGAACAAATCCGCACAGACACACCCCTGGAACCCCGACCAGGGGTATTCTATCTGCTACCCAAGATCTATAAACCTGGAAATCCTGGACACCCCATCGTCTCAGCCATTGGCACCCTGACAGCAGGACTGCCGGCTGTGTGGACTCTCTCCTCAGGCCCTACGCTACCAGCCCTCCCAGCCATCTTCAAGACACTACTGACTTCCTGAGGAAACTACAATCCATTGGTGATCTTCCTGAAAACACCATCCTGGCCACTATGGATGGAGAAGCTCTTTACACCAACATTCCACACAAAGATGGACTACAAGCCGTCAAGAACACTATCCCCGATAATTTCATGGCAAACTTGGTGGCTGAACTTTGTGACTTTGTCCTCATCCATAACTATTTCACATTTGGGGACAATGTATACCTTCAAATCAGCGGCACTGCTATGGGTACCTGCATGGCCCCACAGTATGCCAACATTTTTATGGCTGACTTAGAACAACACTTCCTCAGCTCTCATCCCCAATGCCCCTACTCTACTTGCGCTACATTGATGACATCTTTATCATCTGAACCCATGGAAAAGAAGCCCTTGAGGAATTCCACCATGATTTCAACAATTTCCATCCCACTATCAACCTCAGCCTGGTCCGGTCCACACAAGAGATCCACTTCCTGGACACTACAGTGCTAATAAACAATGGTCACATAAACACCACCCTATACCAGAAACCTACTGACCCCTATACTTACCTACATGCCTCCAGCTTTCATCCAGACCACACCACATGATCCATTGTCTACAGCCAAGCTCTACGATACAACCGCATTTGCTCCAACCCCTCAGACAGAGACAAACATCTACAAGATCTCTATCAAGCATTCTTACAACTACAATACCCACCTGCTGAAGTGAAGAAACAGATTGACAGAGCCAGAAGAGTACCCAGAAGTTACCTACTACCGGACAGGCCCAACAAAGAAAAAAACAGAACACCACTAGCCATCACCTTCAGCCCCCAACTAAAACCTCTCCAACACATCATCAAGGATCTACAACCTATCCTGAAGGACGACCCATCACTCTCACAGATCTTGGGAGACAGGCCAGTCCTTGCTTACAGACAGCCCCCCAACCTGAAGCAAATACTCACCAGCAACCACACAACAAAAACACTAACCCAGGAACCTATCCTTGCAACAAAGCCCGTTGCCAACTGTGTCCACATATCTCTATTCAGGGGACACCATCATAGGGCCTAATCACATCAGCCACACGATCAGAGGCTCGTTCACCTGCACATCTACCAATGTGATATGTGCCAGCAATGCCCCTCTGCCATGTACATTGGCCAAACTGGACAGTCTCTACTCAAAAGAATAAATGGACACAAATCAGACGTCAAGAATTATAACATTCAAAAACCAGTCGGAGAACACTTCAATCTCTCTGGTCACTCAATTACAGACCTAAAAGTGGCAATTCTTCAACAAACAAACTTCAAAAACAGACTCCCAATGAGAGACTGCTGAATTGGAATTAATTTGCAAACTGGACATCATTAAATTAGGCTTGAATAAAGACTGGGAGTGGATGTGTCTATAAGCAGTGTCAGGATGAGCTCCACCCTGACATCTGGTGGTGAGGTGTGGCAAGTTGTGGAAAAGAACTTCAGGGGCCGATCTCATTTGCATAGGCACACCCACCACGCCTAGAATGAGACCATAGCTGCCCAAATGGTCACTTTGGCTGCTGTGGGATCCCCAGTGTCTCTGTTATTGGGGCAGGAAGAATAAATTATTACCCTGATTATGGGAACTGTGCTTGGAACTGTACGTGGCCTTTTGTTATGATGGAGGGATTCACCATCAACTAAGTAGCACTCGCTAGGCAAGGGTCATGGGTTCCAAAACTCTGTGAAGGGAGAGAGGCTGGGAATAAGTATTAATATTTGGTGGCATGGGCCCCTTGGTGAGGGCCTTACATGCTAATTGCACTTCCTCCTCTCTCCACTGTGGAATATCAGAGCTAATTTTGATTTCATTAGAAGTCTAGTTATAGGCTGCTGAGCTCATTTTGGGCTAACAGTGCATCAGCACTGAGGCTCCCCTACTACAAGCTGAATTCACCTAAGAGCTGAAATCACTGAGTGTTGTGTTAAGTAGTGGGGGAGCCTGAAGATATATTGTGGAGCAGTTTGTGGGACGGCTGGAGTGCCTTGTGGACAGGCTGGTGAAGCAGTTCGACGCGGAGCAAGTTCGTGGATGGCAGGAGCTGCTTGTGGGCCGCGGAGCGGAGCTGAGCGAAGGAGTTCGTGGGGCGGCTGGCGGAGTGGAGCGCAGCTGAGCGAAGGAGTTCGTGGGGCGGCTGGCGGAGCGGAGCGCAGCTGAGTGAAGGAGTTCGTGGGGCGGCTGGCGGAGCGGAGCGCAGCTATGGAGCTATGGGGCGGTCAGCTTCAGATCATGTAAGGTGCCTCTTACCCCCGTCCCATCTCCACCCAGGTTGGGAGGTAAAGCTCCGCAGATAAACTTTCGAACTCTGGGGCTGCCCTGACTAGGGACAGAGACTTTTGGGTCATTGGACTTTTGGGACTTTGGATGATTTGGGGTTGCTGGACTCAAGAACCAAAGGGAAAAGGGCATGCCCCAATTTGCTTGGGGTGGGTTTTTTTTGCTCATGGGTTGTATTATGAATCCTGTTGGTGGTGTTTCCCCAACATAATGCCACATTGTTTCTCTCTGTTATTAAAAGGCTTTTGCTACACTCAGACTCTGTGCTTGCGAGAGGGGAAGTATTGCCTCTTGGAGGCGCCCAGCGGGGGTGGTATATATTTGTCCCAGGTCACTGGGTGGGGGCTCGAGCCGGTTTGCATTGTGTTATTGGAATGGATCCCCTAGATATTGAACCCGGCCCTTGTTGCTGCCAACTCTGACGGGCAGAAGGGTTACATGTCATTACACAAAGTAAAACTATTTCCCCATGTTTTATTTTCCCCCCCTACTGTTCCTCAGACATTCTTATCAACTGCTGGAAATGGCCCACCTGGATTATCACTACAGGTTTTTTTTCTCTCCTGCTGGTAATAGCTCACCTTACCTGATCACTCTCGTTACAGTGTGTATGGTAACACCCATTGTTTCATGGTCTCTGTGTGTATAAAATCTCCCCACTGTATTTTCCACTGAATGCATCTGATGAAGTGAGCTGTAGCTCACGAAAGCTTATGCTCAAATAAATTGGTTAGTCTCTAAGGTGCCACAAGTCCTCCTTTTCTTTTTGTGGATACAGACTATCACGGCTGCTACTCGGAAACCATCTATTGTGAGACACGTGATTAAATCAGAAGCGTTGGCAATACTGGAATGTTCCCTGGTCTTTGTGGGCCAGTGGGTGTTTCGCAGCCTGGCCAGGGCTGAGCTGGTGAGTTCAGTGCTGAGCAGCCACTGAGTGGGGGATGCTGGATGTCTCAGGGGCCAGTGACTCCAAGGTGGTGGCCGTGTGGGCAGCAGACATTTTTGACCCCTCATTAGAGGACTCACTACAGGGACGTCATGCAGGGGAATAATGAAAGTGTGCAGAGACAAAGAATTCAGCTAAATTCCATGTCCCTGCCTCTCTGCAGTGTAAGCATGTAGGTTACAGTAACGTTTGTAACGATGACAAGCCCTAAAGGATCAGGAAAACTCACTGAGCAGAAGCAGCCCCTGGCTCTTCAAAGAGACCCCCGGTAAGGCTATGTCAACACTGCGCACTGCTGGGAGAGCTCTCCCAGCCACAAAATAAAACCACCCCGAACGAGGGCAGTAGCTTCGTTGACAGGAGCGCGGCTCCCACCAACGACGCACTGTCCACACAGGCGCTTTTCATCGTTAAAACGTTTGTCGTTCGGGGGGTGTTTTTTCACACCCCTGAGCAACAGAAGTTTTAACGACGAAAGGGCCAGTGTAGACAAAGCCTAAGATAGCAGAGCCAAAAACGTCAATACTGTCTACACTTCGAGCGGCCCGGCTGCACCGATACAGCTGTGCTGCTGTAAGATCGCTTGTGTAGCCACATTGTGCTGAGGGGAGAGCGCGCTCCCGTCGACATAGCGAGCAGTGGTAGCTATGACGGCAGGAGAGCCTCTCTCGCCGACATAGTGCTGTGCTCACAAGTGCTTATGCCGGCAAAACTTATGTGGCTCGGGGGGTGGCTTTTTTCACACTCCCAACGATGAAAGTTTTGCTGACGTAAAAGTGCTATAGTGTAGACAGGGCTTTAGTTAGAAGGGCCCAGAGGCGGGTGTGGGAGTTAGTGGATGTGTTCAGTAGCTGTTTTTGAAGCTGTACGGACAGATTCCACTGAGGGCAGACAGTCTTAGAGGTTTCCCACATTCACCATCTGCAGATGGCGGAGATTTGATCGCAGTAAGAGCACACCTAACGCTGACAGACCCTGGTTATCAGTGGGCAGGATCGAACTGGGGACCTCTGGAGCTTAGTGCATGAGCCTCTACCGCATGAGCTAAAAGCCAGCTGGCTGTTAGCTAAGACTGTAGAGCAGACTCATTAATTGCTCTCTATGGGGTCTCAGTGCCACTGGATGGGACAGGACACCACACTCAGAAGGTGTTGGGTTACACCCACTCTAGCTTTACCACTTCCAGCATGGCTAAAAAGTGCAACAGTGTGGGCTGCACATCCATAACGTTCCTGTCTTTTCCAGGGTTCAGGCAGAAGGCTTATTGCTGTAGTTTCAGCGGCTGTTTCTGCTTGCTCTGTGTTGACAGGGAACATTCCCAGACAAGGTGGCTTGAGAGAGGCTCAAGGGACTGCAAACAAAGGGTTGCTATTTCAGCACACTAGAGGGAGTGCAGGAAGTCGTTAACCAGCTCAGGAGCTGTTTGGAAGCTGGGTGGAAGTTTTCGTTAAGGGCAGACATTCCCCGGCATGTGTCTTTAGTTAGAAGCTCAAAGCTCCTTACCAATCTCTAGTGAGTTCTATCAGGGATTGAAAACTGGCAACCATTTGAGCACCGGTAGGTCCAGCCCAGCCCAGCGAGGAGAAGATGGAGCTACCAGGGGTAATGTAGACTGAATCTGTGGGTTGGCTCTCAATAGAATTTCCTGTAATTTTACAGATTGTTCTGAGGCATTTATATGTTAACATCTTTAATTCCAAGAACGAAAATAAGTAATTTCTCTTCCTTGAGTAGATGCAGCCGTGTCTTCCACTTAACTGTGTGCGCACCCAGAGCGCTGGAGCCAGAGAATTTTACCAAGCAGTATCTGTAGAGGGGCGGCCCATCCCCCAGCTACATGAGGGGCCTGACCCCCCACAGTTCCTTCTTAGTGCCCATGGCTGGAGTCAGAGGTCTGTGTGGTTTTCATCCTTGTAATCCTCTATTCAGTGACTTTTTTCAACTTACGTGTAGTTCATTAGTACTCCTAGTATAGTGTGTGTGTGTTGGAGTTTAAGTGCTCCTGGGTGACGCTCTCCCCAGAGGTGAAACATTGTTTGGGGCAGGGGAAGGGCGGTCTCCACACCGATGCTGGCTGAGGCCCACGGCAAGGAGCAGTGTTTGGTTTGCAGCTCGTTCCCCAAATGGACTCATTGAACAGGCCACGCGGCCTGCTTCAGCACGAGGCCTTGTTGGCTCGGAAGTGGCCTTTGGGGTCGGAAAGAGCTGCTGCTTTATGTCCTGGGGCTGGCACCTCCCCAAAGAGTCCTTCCCCATTGAGTATGCCATGGAAAAGGTCCCATGAGACCAACTGAGGCCATGGGGACTCGTCTCCCTCCTCCAGAAGGAGCGTGGATTGGCACAGCGTTTGTGCCAGTGTGCAGGATGGAGCAGGATTTGTCAACAGCTCCCCAGCACTGCGCAGGGAGGTCAGAGATCCCTTACCATTGACTCCGGTTCTGGCCCCAGGGTGTCCATTGACCCCGGTGCCGACGAGGGCAATGCTGGCCCTGGCTGTTTCTGTATCAGGCAGCAGTGGACCCCCTCTGCCTTTCTGTCATAGAATTATAGAATATCAGGGTTGGAAGGGACCCCTGAAGGTCATCTAGTCCAACCCCCTGCTCGAAGCAGGACCAATTCCCAGTTAAATCATCCCAGCCAGGGCTTTGTCAAGCCTGGCCTTAAAAACCTCTAAGGAAGGAGATTCTACCACCTCCCTAGGTAACGCATTCCAGTGTTTCACCACCCTCTTAGTGAAAAAGTTTTTCCTAATATCCAATCTAAACCTCCCCCACTGCAGCTTGAGACCATTACTCCTCGTTCTGTCATCTGCTACCATTGAGAACAGTCTAGAGCCATCCTCTTTGGAACCCCCTTTCAGGTAGTTGAAAGCAGCTATCAAATCCCCCCTCATTCTTCTCTTCTGCAGGCTAAACAATCCCAGCTCCCTCAGCCTCTCCTCACAAGTCATGTGTTCTAGACCCCTAATCATTTTTGTTGCCCTTCGCTGGACTCTCTCCAATTTATCCACATCCTTCTTGTAGTGTGGGGCCCAAAACTGGACACAGTACTCCAGATGAGGCCTCACCAATGTCCTGACCTCCCACTTGGTCCAGGACTTTGCCAGACTTGCATCGTTTACAGCCCTGCTGACTGGGCACGCTGCTGAACCTATGAGTCTGTCAGCGCCACACCCCAGTGTTTCCTTTCCACATTCAGTGGAAATGGGGCTGGTACGGGGCTCCCTCCTCAGCACCGGGAACTTCTTCGGTATCCTGTGGCTGGCTCTGCCAATGTTACTGTGCCATCAGTCACCGCCCTCCTCTTCAGCACTGTTAGTTACTTCGGTACCGATGCTAACTTTGGGGTCAACACTGCTCCCGGCACCGCAAACAACGGAGCTGTACTCAGTGCCGGCGGTACCATTTCCATCATCGGCACCAGCCCCCTCTGTTTTCTTGGCTACAAACAAATCGGACGGTCTGGGATTTCTTGGTGTCTGAGTCAGGATCTTACTCCTATTCTCCAGGCAGCCAAATGTTTGATCTAGTTGTCAGTATAATACCTAGGCCGAGCCTGCATGAAAGTAGATGATCTTTGTTTGACAAAAGTCCCAAAAGTCTCCCTTATTTTGCGAGGTTTAAATATAAATATTTTTTGGGTGTAGGCTCTATGCTATATTCTTCATTTTAAGGAAAGTAATGCATCTCTCATTGGTGATGTTAATCCGGCTAGGGTTCATTGTCGCTGCTGTGCTGTACTGGTTTGTCTTTGGAGTGTTATTCAGTAAAAAGAAACAAATGGGCGGAAAAGAAATTTGGAACTGCTAATTGCGTGTGTGTGTGTTTGTGTGTGTGAAACTGTGTTATGTTGAAAACTGGTACTGGAGTCTTAAGAAGCAGAAAAAGAAAGCAAATCCTGTAATCATTTCCACTTTTTAGTATTTAGAGGGTTCCTATAGAAAACCCAGCTGTAGTCTGCAGGGAGGATGTGAGTTCATGGCCTGTCCAGATACATTAAGTCAGAGAGAGTTCTGTAGCACAGAATCGGTAAGTAAATTGCAACCGATACAAGCATAGACTTACCGCCTCTCTCTGTAGGTTGCACAAGCACAGTAGCCCATGTCACCACGTCTACACTGCTACTTTTAGCCGTGCCGGCGTGGGCTAGTTATGTCTCTCCGATCTGCAGTCACACATCTGATTGAAGTGGAGACATACCCAGTATTGCCAACTCTGGTGATTTGATCACAACTCTGGTGACTGGGGGGGGTCCTGTCTCATGAAAACGTGACAAAAGGTGCCAACTCATGACTTTTCCTTTATTCAAAATGCCCATCTCCCCTTACTATCGGTGCAGCTGGAGCCTGCAAGATGGCTGCCATCTTCTAATGTGAGGCTACCCTTCATAAAATTGACTTCCACCTCCCACTGTTTTCCATGGGATTGAAGCCAGGCCCACAGGTTGAAGGGGCTGGACAAGACACAGGAACTGTGAGGAGCAGTAGAGACACCATGACAGGGGGATGGGGAAAATGAGAGGGGAAGAAGGGCAGTTGAGGGAATGTGGGGGCAGGAGGGAGGCTGAGGGGGTGCAGAGAACAGTCCCCTTCCTGCAGCCAGGGGAAGGCAGCATTGCCAACTCAAACTCTCACAAACTGATCAAGAGTCTAGGATCTTGGTCCCTGCAGGAGCTGTCACCCTGATTCAAAAAGTCACTGCAAACCCACAATCTTCTGGGCTGGGCATGTGGGCAGCGTTCTGTGCGAGCTCTGTAGGGCTGAGGGTTCAGATCTGACCTGTATGGCCCTGGAACAGAGAGAGGGGCCTGGGGGAATGGGAGGCAGGGAATGGCGAGTTGGATTGTGCTGCTGGGACCCAGGTAGAGGAGGGAGCAGGGAGACTTGGGTAATACGAATTGGATGACAGTTCCTCTATGATAGGGCTGAGGAGATGGTAAATGGAGTCGCTTGCATGGGTTGTGTCCATTAAAGGTTGCCTTTTCAAGTGGAATTCTGACACCCCCAGTGGCAGAGGAACAGAGGAGAGTTAAAAGTCGAAAGACAGATGGAAAAACAGGGTTTGATATAAATAACCCCTCATGATCTTTGGTTTCTGGAGGCTGGCAATACTGCGTGTGCGGACAGCTGAGCCAGGTGGGGTTCAGGGGAAAAGGCACTGGACATAGCCAGGGGCTCAGCGGCTGGCTAATGCGGACCCCTATGGCTCTGAGCACTGAGAGCAAGTTCAGGAGTTCTACTGTTGTATAATATCTTGGGAGATTTTTGTGAGAGATTCCACAATCATGTAATTTACCCTGATGTGTTTTCTCCCTCCCCCCTGCCCAGCACTGTGTCTAATTACGATGTGATCTCGCAGATGGAACGAGGGGAAGAGCCGTCGGTCCGGGAAAGGGAGAACCGAAGAAACACCTGTACAGGTAGGGCACATGGGAGACTGATGTCAGGAACCTGAGATGAGGGAGTAGAAAGCTAGGGTTTATTGGCAGGTGTCGTATCCTTGTGATCTTCCAGTAATCCTGACTGCCACCTTCTGGTAATTCCCTCTCGTGGCCACTTGTCCTCCACAGAGTTTGGATGGCACGAGGTCGTAGAATCCCCCCCCTCGGAGGAATGGCTGGGGGGATTCTGCTCCAGATTCCTCAATCTCCCAAACAGTTATTTTGGTTTGCACCCTCCCTGCCCTGTTTGAGGCATCCTGGGAGCGACTCACTTCTGGCTCACTCTCTCTATCCCAGCAGGTCAGGGGACGGTGAGTGAGAATAAGAAGGAGAGTCCTCAGCAGGGAGATCCTGAGCAAGTGGAATTTCATGGGACGTTACTGGGAAGATCCAAAGAGAAGGGAAATTTCTGCTCTCTTGAGCAGGGCAAAGCTTCTGAGAGTCCAGGTAGGTCCAAAAGGGAGCAAAGAAACCCTCCGGCAAAGAGACTGGGGAAATCCATCCCACTTGGGGGAGGTGACCTCAATGACCTCACAATCCTGCAGAGACTCCACCCAGGAGAGGGAAAGAAGACGTGTCCAGACTGTGGGAAAAGCTTCTGTGGGCGCTTAGGTCTTACTAGACATCAGAGAATCCACTTGGGCAAGAAGCCCTACAGGTGTCCTTTGTGCGGGAAAGCCTTCAGCCGGAGCTCGCAGCTCGTCACCCACCAGAGAACCCACACGGGAGAGAAGCCCTACCAATGCCCCGAATGCGGGAAAGCCTGCAGCCGGAGCTCGCAGCTCGTCACCCACCAGAGAACCCACACGGGAAGCCAGTGCGGGAAGGGCTTCAGCCAGAGCTCCAACCTGGCCACGCACCAGAGAGTGCACACGGGGGAGCGGCCCTACCGGTGCTCCCAGTGCGGGAAGGGCTTCACGCAAAGCTCGCACTTCACCGCCCACCAGCGGCTGCACATGGGCGAGAGGCCCTACCGCTGTGCCGAGTGCGGGAAGAGCGACACAAACTGCTCCGCCCTCATCAAACACCAGAGGAACCACACGGGGGAGCGGCCCTACAGATGCCCCGAGTGCAGGAAGGGCTTCAGTCAGAGCTCCGCCCTGCTTGCCCACCAGCGGATCCACACGGGAGAGAGGCCCTACAAGTGTCCTGAGTGTGGAAAGGGCTTTTATGCGTGCTCCCCACTTATTGCACACCGGAGAACCCACACTGGCGAGACGCCCTACACGTGTCCGGAGTGTGGGAAAGGGTTCCGCAAGAAAACCAGCCTGAATGTGCATCAGAGAGACCACCCGGCAGAGGAACAATGCCCTGACCAGGGCTGTCCCCAGTGAACGGCATCCATGGCCATTCCCACAACACATGGGGGTATTTGGCTTCTCAGCACCATCTGTCTGCATATCTGTTGGGTCAACTGACTTCGGGAGCCACCCCTAAGATGACTGGTGGTGATCCTCTAGCAAGTCCTAGGCAGAGGAGAAGAAGCCCGCATCATCTCTTATTTAACTGGTGCATCCCCAGCTGCAAAGCTGCCAATTGGAGGATTGAGCCAAAAGAAATCTGATGAGGTTCAATAAGGATAAGTGCAGGGTCCTGCACTTAGGACGGAAGAACCCAATGCACAGCTACAGACTAGGGACCGAATGGCTAGGCAGCAGTTCTGCGGAAAAGGACCTAGGGGTGACAGTGGACGAGAAGCTGGATATGAGTCAGCAGTGTGCCCTTGTTGCCAAGAAGGCCAATGGCATTTTGGGATGTATAAGTAGGGGCATAGCGAGCAGATCGAGGGACGTGATCGTTCCCCTCTATTCGACATTGGTGAGGCCTCATCTGGAGTACTGTGTCCAGTTTTGGGCCCCACACTTCAAGAAGGATGTGGATAAATTGGAGAGAGTCCAGCGAAGGGCAACAAAAATGATTAGGGGTCTGGAACACATGACTTATGAGGAGAGGCTGAGGGAGCTGGGATTGTTTAGCCTGCAGAAGAGAAGAATGAGGGGGGATTTGATAGCTGCTTTCAACTACCTGAAAGGGGGTTCCAAAGAGGATGGCTCTAGACTGTTCTCAATGGTAGCAGATGACAGAACGAGGAGTAATGGTCTCAAGTTGCCGTGGGGGAGGTTTAGATTGGATATTAGGAAAAACTTTTTCACTAAGAGGGTGGTGAAACACTGGAATGCGTTACCTAGGGAGGTGGTAGAATCTCCTTCCTTAGAGGTTTTTAAGGCCAGGCTTGACAAAGCCCTGGCTGGGATGATTTAACTGGGAATTGGTCCTGCTTTGAGCAGGGGGTTGGACTAGATGACCTTCTGGGGTCCCTTCCAACCCTTATATTCTATGATTCTATGATTCTAAGCCCTCTGTCTCTTGTCAACATGGGAGGAGAGAGGAAAATCCCTCCAGGAGCTCCTTTTTCCTCAGGTGGGAGAAAGCTACATGGCTCAGGCCCTAAACTAACTCAGAACACCTATCGCCACCCACCCCCAGACCTGGGCTGGGCTGGGCTCTCAAACTGATCCAGAACTGGAGCTTGATTTTGCCCAAACAACCTTAATCCTGGCCACTTGTGGAAATACATTGTGGTACAATTTTAATTTACATTGTCACATACCATTTTTCCCCGCAGGGCTCCTGCCTCATTCAGTGCCCAGAATGGATGTGTCGGGCAGCCTGAACTATGGGGGTCTCTATGTATGCTGCCGATTATAGAATCTACCCTCTATTCTTTCCCTGCCCCTTGCCTTCTCTCTCCCACTTGGGTGCCCAGGGTCATCTGGGGCCACCTACATCACTTTCCTGAAAGTGCCTTGAATTGCCAATGGAGCCAACCCCCATTTTCTGCCTTTCGCCCTGGCAAGCTCCTGGAAATTCTGTCCTGACTGGTCTGTGCGTCCCACACCATTCATGATGACATGCTAGCCCAGCTGCTGAGGAGAGCCCTGCAGAAAGCAATAGGGGTTAGGGGACAGAAAATGGAGACCTGTGTCTCATCCAAATGCTGTCTGAGCAGAGTCTGCAGTCGGTTCATTCCGTTTTCAAGCTAGTTCTTTTAATTGTCATACCCTCATTCCAGTGCCAGGGAGGAACAAATCTCAGGCAGAAGAATAAAACAAAAGCAGAAAAACTTCTGCCAATAAAACCCACGTAACAGATTGATTGGGAGCAGTTTTAAGCTTAATCAAAAAGAGCCACTCTTAAATTGAAATAAGCGTATCTACACAGGGATGTGCAGAGTTTTAACTGAAAGAGCTTAAGTTCCCACCTTAGGTTAAAGGGGTACAAGCCCTCAGTGCAGCCTTGCCAACCCCAAGCGTGCAAAAATCATGAGTCCAGCCCCCAAAACATGAAATTTGGCTTAAAAATCCAGTGATGTTTTAAAAATAATACATTTGAAGTTTTTTATTTCTTCTGGTTTCTGAGTCTTTAGAGTGCACGTGCTTCACGTTTTCAGACTTTTCCCTGCAACCACGAGGGCTAGAATCTCCCTTAAAAAAAAGGAAAGAAACGAAAGTTGAGCTTCTTATTCAGTCTCTTGATTCTAGCAGCTGGGGCTGGAAAACACCAAATATCATGAGAGCTGCATTACATTTTTAAGAGTTGGTAACACTATAGTTAAATCTTCTTCTTCAGATAGATGCAGCCGTGTATTCCACATAGGTGTGTGTGGACCCAGCAGACTGGAGCCTGAGAAATTTGCCTACCGGTACCTGTAGAGGGTCGTGCTTACACCTCATGGCCATAGCCCCTCCCCTGGCTACATGAAGGTGCAACCCCAACCCTCTCTCAGTTTTTATTTCTTAGTCAACTGTAACATCCCATGTTTAATTCATTCTTTTAAACATTGTCAACACTATCACCTAACTAGCTTTATTTGACCTTCTGTAATTTCTTAGTTGCTTTTGAAATTCTATTTTGGCTAATAAATGGATACATTTACCATACTTCCCCAGTCTGTATTTTAGCTGAGGTACAGATATAGAAAGAACCTGAGGGCTTGTGTGCTGCTGAAGAGCTATTCCAATGGGAGGGGTTCTTCTGACAGCGTAGGCACTCCGCCTCCTCACGTGGCAGTAGCTAGGTCGACAGGAGAATGCTCCCGTCGACCTAGCGCTGTCTACACCAGGGGCTAGGTCGGTTTAACTGCATCTCTCATGGGTGTGGAATTTTCACACCCCTGAGTGGTGTAGTTATATTGACCTAATTTTGCAGTGTAGTCTAGTAGATAATAGGTTAATTAAATTAATTGTCCAATATGGTTTAGAATGTGTATTTCTTACATCACGCATCTTAATGAGGGATGAAGTTCAAAGTCTAATCGTCAATGCTAATATGAAGTGCAGGCAAACATACTTGTCTTAAACCCAAATTAGTTATATATAAAAAGCAAGATTAGTGCAAAACTAAGGCTGCTTGTTTCAGATGAATGCAGAGAAGAAAGATGGCTCAGGGGTTAGGGTCCTAATCTAGCCCTTGAGAGAGACTGGTTCAAGGTCCTGCTCCACCATACATTTTCTGCCTGAACTTGAGAAAGTCACTTGGGCCCAGTTCCACAAAGGTGTTAGGAGCCTAAATCCCCTTATGGATCTGGGATTCTGGGCCCATCCGTACAATGGGGATCACAGCACTTTCCAACATCACCGGGGAGTTGTGAAGGGAAATACATTAAAGCTTGTGAGGCGCTTGGATATTGCACTAATGGGGACTATATAAGCACTTACGATAGAAGAACTGCAGAAGCTAAGATTTCTGTAGCAGGGTTTGCTTAGCTATGTAAATCTGTATTTTATGATATAGTGATGTACAAGCACCAGAAGGGTTAAGGGAGCCTGAGAGTGTCAGGAACCTCAACCTCACTGATTGCACTTGGGGAGGGTGTGGTCTGGGGAGGGGGGTGGACTTAAAAGAGGAGAGAGAGGCATTTGGGAGAGGAGAGTACGTAGTGTACTCCCTCCCTCCGGGAAGTGGGATGATAGACGGCTAGAGAACCATAGAAATGTAGGGCTGGAAAGGACCTCAAGTGGTCATCAAGTCCAGATTGATCTGCTAAGGACCAAGTACACCTAGACCAGCCCTGGCAGATGTTTGTCCAACCTGTTTTTAAAAAGCTCTAATGATGGAGATTCCACAGCCTCCATAGGAGGCCCATTCCAGAGCTGACCTAGCCTTCTAGTTAGAAAGTATCTCCTAATATCTAACCTAAATCTCCCTTGCTAGAGATTGAGCCCATTACTTCTTGTCCTACCTTCAGCAGACATGGAGAAAAACAGACAGGCTGCCCCTGAGGTGAGCCAGCAGAAGGATCAGGAGCTGCTGCGGGACCTAGGAAAAGGACCTAGGGGTGACAGTGGACGAGAAGCTGGATATGAGTCAGCAGTGTGCCCTTGTTGCCAAGAAGGCCAATGGCATTTTGGGATGTATAAGTAGGGGCAAAGCGAGCAGATCGAGGGACGTGATCGTTCCCCTCTATTCGACATTGGTGAGGCCTCATCTGGAGTACTGTGTCCAGTTTTGGGCCCCACACTTCAAGAAGGATGTGGATAAATTGGAGAGAGTCCAGCGAAGGGCAACAAAAATGATTAGGGGGCTGGAACACATGAGTTATGAGGAGAGGCTGAGGGAGCTGGGATTGTTTAGCCTGCAGAAGAGAAGAATGAGGGGGGATTTGATAGCTGCTTTCAACTACCTGAAAGGGGGTTCCAAAGAGGATGGCTCTAGACTGTTCTCAATGGTATCAGGTGACAGAACGAGGAGTAATGGTCTCAAGCTGCAGTGGGGGAGATTTAGATTGGATATTAGGAAAAACTTTTTCACTAAGAGGGTGGTGAAACACTGGAATGTGTTACCTAGGGAGGTGGTAGAATCTCCTTCCTTAGAGGTTTTTAAGGCCAGGCTTGACAAAGCCCTGGCTGGGATGATTTAACTGGGAATTGGTCCTGCTTTGAGCAGGGGGTTGGACTAGATGACCTTCTGGGGTCCCTTCCAACCCTTATATTCTATGATTCTATGATTCTATTCTATGACCCTGGACCCCTGGGAAGGCAGAAAACTGTCGGACCCTGACTGTGGCATGGAATGAGGATGCTGATGATGAATGAGGCTTGCCTGCGCAGGAACGGGATGGCCAGACGAGTCTGACTGGGGCTGAGGATTTAGTTATGATTCTCTGGGACGTGTTAAAGGACTCTGTGGTCCCAGACGGGGTCAGACTCTTGAACATGGCATGGTCGGAGAGTCAGGCCACCCCTGCGGCCAGCACAGGCTGAAGAACACAAGAGGGAAAAGGAAGCACAACTGCTGCAATGCCACATCGAGGTGTGTGTGTGTGTGTGTGTTGGGACAGCAGTTTTGCGGCAGGTCTATATTTACAACTGTTAAAATCAGACTGCATCTTGAACAAGACAAATGGTATGGAAAATGTTTGAAGGAACCTAAAAGAATGGTAATGCAAAAGCTACCTTAGCGGTGTAACTTTCATGTAGCCCTGCTGATATTTTGCAATGCCTATGACAGTTGCATTACATTTTTGTTCACATTTAACTTACTGAGATGATGTTGAATCAGTGCTGGAAATGTAAAAATGTTAGTGACAATGGCAATGAAAATCTGGTATGTGCAACCTTTTCGCCTGCAATGCGTTTTATATAAAAGTTTATATGTGGTAGGAGGAACCTCACCCCCCCATGACAACAGGTGTTCTTGTTTTGCTCAGTTTAGGAATATAGGAAGCGCCATGCCAGCTCAGACCAGCACTCCGCCTAGCTCTGACAGCAAAATATCTGAGGCCCCCTCTACACACAGGTTTTGTACCAGTATAACTATTTTGGTTAGGGTTGTTTTTCCCACTAATTGTACTGGTACAATCCTAGCATGGAAGGTGCCTTATACTGGTATAGCTTCCTTCCCTTCCGATACAGGAATACACTACACGATTGGCATCACCTTTGTGTTGGTATGTGGGTGTCCACACCAGGGGACTGCTGCCACTTTAACTATACCAGTATAGTTTCACTTCCAAATATCAAAATATTGCTACGTGGAATGAAATCTCCTGGTATTTGTGTAACACTACTTTTTGTTTTCTAGTTTTGATAATTCTGAACTTTAGAGCTTGATTAAAAAAGTAAAACTCCATTCATGCAAGACTATTCTGCTGACTAAAGGCATTAGAACGTGATTATGTTATGCAGAGATGCAGAAGATGGCTATAGTAAGAGACAGAAACTAGATCCTCTTCCCATTTGTCTTCTGCCCCGAATATGTGAATCCATATAACTCACAACCGGCTCAGCTGTTAGGTGGTTACACTGAAATAATTGGAACTCTGAAAGGTACTACAAACGCCAGAGCCCAGCCCTGTTCTGTGCGATAGGGAATTTAATATAAACAAGTTGGAAAGGATTCGATAGATAAAGAAAGATGATTCTCTTTTTCGGGGGAAGGAAATGGACCTTGTAAGATCTCCTTGTCGCTAGATTATTTTGTGCCGTTCTGCAGCAGAGCCATGAGAGGGAGCATGAGACCTAAGACACTGGCACCTCCCGGGCTTCATTCACGTCTGGACACCATGTCAGCCCGGAGCCTGCCCCCGCCAGACAAGTCCCCCAGGCCAGCCTGCGACGCCGTGGTCTTCTGAAAGCCTGAGAAGCACCCAGGGTTTGAGTCTCCATTGCTGTGTCCTTCACACCCGCACAAAGTGAGGACAGGCCTCTGCCAGTGCTGATTTGGTAGTGTTTGCACTCCTCTTGCATTGGTGTAAATATCTGAGCAGGGCATCGGAGAATGAGGCCCAGACGTAGAAATGCAGGTTAAAGCAGTGTTAGGCCTTGTCTACCCAGAGACTTGCTCGGGTTTAAACAACCATAGGTTTGTTTTTAAATGCATTATATAAGGGCTTTTGTCTATTTAAACTAACCCAACGCCGACCAGATTTCAAATGATTTAGGAGGGTCCCAGTGTTGTCAACTTTGCCTAGTTTATTGCAAGTCTATTAATATTTGTTTTCTTAAAGTGTTCACAATGCCGGCTGCTGGCGCACACCCAGGCCATAGGCGTGTTCCCTGGCTAGCCTGGGAGCAGCAACATGGTCTTGTGCTACCCTCTGCACAGCCCCAGAGTAAGGCCTTGCTGGGGAGGGTTGTGACTAGTAAGCTCTGGCTAATAGCTCTGGGAAACAGCTTTAAGGAAGAGCAGCCTCTGGGGCCCAGGATTTAAGAGGTTGAAAGCTGATGTAAAGCCACTTTTGCCCCAACCCGCCACCAGGCTGCACCTCCCGAGACATGCAGCTCAGAATACCCGGTGCCAAGGTCTTTAGCTCCTAATCCTTCAATGTCAGAAAATTAAAAACACTCAGTCACTGCCTTATCTTCACTTCTGCCCCCCGTGACAAGGTAGGGCCAGGTCCTGTGCCCCGACTGGAGGGTTAGGGAGAGCTCTATGGCCTGCCTGTACGCAATGGCAGGCCCAGGTGGAGGGGCAGGATGGATCTGAGCCCTGGCTCTACCCTTACCTTAGCTCTGGTTTTGTGTGCGCACCTTGAAGTGTTTGGGCACAGCTGTCTGTTCATCACACACAGGCAGAGCCATCCCTGGGTATGGCGAATCGGAGTGACCGCCCTGGGCCCCGTGCTTTGGGGGGCCCTGCAGGAGGTGGGCAGGCGAGTGGGGTGAGGAGGCGGGAAGAGGTGGGGCAGGCGAGTGGGGTGGGGAGGCGGAGCTGGGGTGGGGCCTGGACGGAGCCAGGGGGAGCACCCCCCGGCAGTTTAGAAATGTGACAGTAATTCTTTCCCCATCGACTGGCCTTTTATATTTAACAAACATTTATTCCTCACTTCCCCATAATTTTTGCTTAGTTCTGTGGGCTTTGGATCAGGTCCCCGGCAAGGAAGTGAGTGTGAGTCTTTCCATTGATTTCAACGGGCTTTGGATCAGGCCCAGGCCCAGGGGCCAGCCCATCAGCATGCTTACTGTGGGTCCTTATAGTCCATGGCGTCTACGTAGGAGTCAGCTGAGAATTCCACATTTGTTTTTCTGGTTTTCTATGTTTCAGAATCAACCCAGCAGCTACAAAGGGGAAGATTACACAATGAAATTAGCTGTTAGAAGCAGCTGGATGCGTTCTGCCCTTGCAGAAGGTGTTTTTCTGTGCAGCTGTGTTTGCAAGTGAACCCCTGTGATTAAACTAGAAGCTGGTGGCACCCCTCCCCCCCCACAGATCTCCTGCTCTTGTTTCTTTTCTCCCATAGCAGAGTAGACCTGCCAGTTACTATCCCGTTGTCAGGCAGAGCCTGGTGCGCATACGCTTATAGAGAACAAAGAAATAAATTGGCTCTCTCATCTGCGACTGCTGTAAAAAGGCCTCGTTGTATTTTTATCAAGAAGAGGGTGGGGTGCAAACAGAAGAGTGAAATATTTGACATAGCACAATTTCATGTACTGCTCCCTATTCCTTTAACCGTTTGGGGATGGATCCTCAGCTATACTGAATTTAGAGTGTGCTGAAGAAAGCGGGCTAGAGGGTGGGGACTGGCTCCAAGCCACCTTTCTGTTCCAGTAATCCTGAGCACCCCAAACTTGAGGTCACTTGACGATGTTGGCCATCGATTTTAAAATAACATCGTGTCCCTTTAAAAAGCAATTCGGTATGTAATCCTGAAAGCGATGAAGTAATAGTGCTGGCCAGGCCAAGAATAGCAGTTTGGCAGTAAGCAATATTTCCGCACCCTCCCCCCCAACCCCCTTACTGTTCAGGCTGGACTGTACCCAAGCTGGAATTGCCAAATGTGCAGCAATGTAGAAAAACGTTCATTAGTGATAGGGGGCCTGATCCAGAACCCAGTGAGGGCACTAGGAGCTGCAGCAGGCCTAGAAATCCAACCTAATGTTTTATTCAAGCTGTCCAGAGGTAAAAAGTCAGAGCATTGCCCCATAGTATCACCAACACCTCCCCCTTACAAATATGCTTTCAAGACCAGAACACCCTGGACTCACTGCCTTAGGCTGCATACTGCCCACAAACGAGGCTGATGAGCCCAGTCCAACAGTCAACATCCAAAATAATCACCCTTCAGAGCATCTTCATTCTGCAGGATAGTATTGGGGCCCATCTTTGCCTGAACCAGGCTGCTAACACTTCTAGATGGAACTTCTTAATAAATCTGTCTTTTTTCATTATTTTTAAGAGTTATTTATGGGGCAGAACAGTTAGTTGCACAATGGGGATATATAACTAATACTGCTGGGCGTTTTCAATGTGGTCCTGATCGAAAGCCTGTTGAAGTTATTGGGAGGCTTTGCCAGTAAGTACAGAAGCTAAGAACAATTCAGGGTGGAAAGTGAGAGTAAATGGGAAGAACATATATATCTATTTAAAAACGGTCAGTATCTGTTAAAATTCTCTTCATCTTGCTAGGAGTCTCAAACATAATGTTCCTCTAGGTTCTGGCTAATTTGACTACCTGGAAAGCAGCTTTCAAGGCCTCTCCATGCCCAGCCAGTCTATCCCCTCCTGCTAATCTGAGCTGTTAAAAGCCTAATGCCCAGACTTTACAGCTGGTGCTTGTGAGCTATCGCTGCAGTAGTAAAGTTCTACCAGTGCCTTGTTTATGGGGTATGTGGGGTTTTTGCTTTTTTAAGACACGGCAATAACTGATCACACACAAGAATAAGAGGAACTGGAAGTGGCTGCTAACCTTTTTTTTTTTTTTTTTTTTGGGGGGGGGGTGTCTTTAAAATGACCTATAGTCAATCTATGATAGGATATATAAACCCAACCCTAGTTAATCCTGAGTTAACAGCAGCTTGAGCCCAATTAGGCTTCTGAGTGGCAGCTGGAGATGTATTAGGCATAACTGGTGATCAAACCTCACTGGGAGGGAGTTGGGGCTTCAGAAAGGAGGGTGTGTAGGGCAGTGGGGGAAAAGGCCAGGGAGGACTCAGCTGGGAGTTTTGTTCCTCTTTTGGGCTAAAGGTGAAGAGATGCATGGGAGGCCTGAAGCTTGGAGCCAGCACTAGAGGGTTCAGAGCCAAGAGAAAGGCTCTGGGCAGTGGAGGCTGGGGTGAGAAGTGTTTTGTCCTGTGCCAGGAGGAAGCTGGAGATGGTGACACCCAAAAGGCAGTGACCCTAAAGCCTATGGGGGGGTTGGACTGAGGTTTGCAGGCCTGGGGGGAGGAGCTGCAGTAAGGGACAGGCTCCTGGGGCAAGGAAGAAGCACTGCTCTGAAATAAGAGCAAGAAAGAACTTTGCTGGTGTCAGGTTCTAAGAAGTCGAGCGGGCTTGTGACCGTAGTGAGCCTGAGCCAGGGTATGGAAAGTATGGGGGCGCTGAGTGAGACTTGAAGGCCTTGAGTTTTCTGTGAGTGGCCTTCGCTGAAGATTCTAGGGGAGGACCCATGGGTCTTAGTAACCCCCAGAAAAGGGGCTGAAAAGGCTGGAACTTTGGGTATTGTTTTATGTGGACTTGGCACTTGCCTACCCTGACGTAGATGTGGAACTAACCCCCTGACCTGGCCAGCAGAGGTGGACCCCCACAGGTTTGGAGTGACCATTGAGATGGGGCACTACACAGGAAAGAGCTGGTAGACTGTGCCTGGCCAGGAAGGGG